ACTTCAAATGATTAAAAACTTAATTATTATTCCATTAACTAGAGTAAATATTTACGTCTGGAATATTTTTTAATAATCAACCAGTGACTTAATTGCATATTAATAACACATTTAATACGTAATTAGTAAATTAATAAATTCGATAAAAAATTTCAACTTTATTATAAATTTTAAAATGACAAAAAATCGACTGTTACTTCTCAGTGGTGGGATGCCAGTGGTTAGATTAAGTCGATACGCGGGGCCAGAGTTCGAGACCCGGCAGCGCAAAAAAAAGAACCAGCAAAAATAGTTTTTAATTAAAATATCTTGCGGGTTTCTTGATATTAAATTGAGCGTAAAAAATCTCTTTAGTGAATGTGAAATCAATATTATTCATTAAATAACAATGAACTCAACAAACTCGGGCAGTAAGTCACCAGCTGTAACGGGTCTTATAGAGTAACGGGGTCGTCATCGGGTGTCTTCTTTGTGATATTCAATAAACACCTACATTATTCGTGACTTATCCGATAAGATGTTTATGAACCCTCCTTATCTCAATTTAACAATAATATAAATTCTGTCGCAGGAATAAATCCTTTTTTATTCTTATCTTCATATCAAGGAGCACGGTTATAGTAGGAGTATACAATATAAGATAGTTAGTGTAGTAATCAATGGGAATTTAATGACCGCGAATAAAAAAGCGAGGCGGGACGGTGACCTGGAATCTCAGTCAAGTCCTCAGTCCTCAGTCAGTTTCTCTACATTGAAAAGCAAATATATCAACCGAGTATGTACAAGTATGAGTATAAGTGTATTTACATTGATTAATATACTGTCACGTCCGTGACAGGAGCCGTGAAAAGAATAAATTATCATTCCGGTATATACATAATTTTATTCCTACACGTGCGTACTATCGAAATATTAGCAGCTGAAGTTAGGGATTCCCTTTTCTTTATATGTACTAGATTTTATATTAATAAAATATTGTTTCTTCTTACCAGATAAAACAGTACTTTATACTCTATATCATCCCAACAAATAAAACTAAACCAGTTTTATTACAAATATGTCGGCGAGTACCGAAGGTAACCAGGTTAAGGTTACCAGGAAAATAGTCTACTCTCATAATATCGAATTTTCTTACGATGACACTGCTGTTTTATTTTACTTTTTCACACTGTTCATTTTTTCTTATTGTTATTTTTAATTAATTGTACCTTCTGTTACTATTGTTCTCTAGTTACTTCATCACTATTTTTGATTATTATTATTATTATTATTATTATTATTATTATTATTATTATTATTATTATTATTATTATTATTATTTAAAAGATATTTTAATAATGAAATTTAAATCTATAGATTACGAGGCCCTTAAACGGCATTCGTGAGATTGAATAAGATTTAAATCACTAAGAAATTTAATCAAGTGAATTCACAAACTTTTTTTCATATTTTTGATCAAATTTAATATTAAATTCATATCTGTAATAATAATGTCGCTCATTGATAAAATAATTATTTTTTATCTTGAACATCAAAATGATTATTTTCAATTTAAATAATTTAGGAAATAATAATAGTATGAAAAAATTATTCAAGAAAAAAAAATATATATATACATATACCCCGGGAAATTCATACTATTATTTTTCTCTACTGCATTTAATGTATGAAATATATTTGCATGTATAAGTTCAATTTCAGTCATCTGTATCCACGCGTTAGATATTGGTTTGATTTAAAAATTTGACATTTAATTTTAAAAAATTTCAATGTAAGAAAATGAAATATTCAATGGACTAAATTTATTTTATTTTATTATTAAAAATAGAATATTCTTAAAGTCGGATTAATAAATATGTGTTATGAAATTATTGATCCATAAGTTTTGATTGGTATTTCCATTTATGCTGATTATAAAAAAACGCGCACAAATTCTGTGTAAGCTGACGCAATTTTGGTCGAATATTGAGGAAGTCTAATTCTAAAAAACTTTATTTTTTTTAAGTAATAAAATAAGAAAAATTTTAAATTAGATTCTAGTAAAAAATTGAAGATATAAAAAATAATAAAAAATATCTTAGAGAAGATTGTCTTGCAAAAAATTTAGTGTCATTTTTTATCCAAAATTTTGATTAAAATTCAAAATCATACTCTTCTTGATTAAAAAAGATTGTGTAATTTAATTACTAAATTCAATTTAAAAATTCATGATTATTCTTCTCTGAATTTAAAAGACTAATAATAAAATCACCCACCCTGTTCATTATTGTCACAAAAGTTGAATTCTTCTTGACAATTCGATAGTAACTAGATTACTCATTGTAAAAAATTCCTAGGATGCAGCCGATTAAATAAAGTGGATATCGATATCTCTCAACTCGAACAAAGTTTCTCTCGGGCGTGAATCAGCTGCCGTCTGTAGTTGTATCGAACATACATAATAATAGTAAAGACATTTTATATTTGTTGTAAGTAGGGCACGTGTGTGTTTGTGTGTATGTGACCAGTTTGTAAATAAGCGGGAAACCTACAATACCGGAACCATCAACTAGTCTCATTCAAGTTCCCGTTTAATCATCGCATCGTTTCTTATATATATATATATATATATATATATATATATATA